ATTTAATTATTCTGCCATTTAAAACGAATTCCCAAATATTTAATGAACTTCCATTGTTTAGTTAGTAGGGTGTGTAAAATTTTGTGTCTAGACTAACGAAATTAAATAACAATACTGTTCAGAATTAATTGCGTCAGAAAATTTCAGTAGAATATAATTTGGTTTGAATAGTTTTATTAAATACTAATTTTACATAATTATTATTGTCTGTCTCTTAAGTCATTTCGAACGAATGTTTTCGTCGGTTTCTGCATTTCAGATAATTCTTATCACTGTTTGATAAACTAATATGTATAAATATTTACAACAAAAAAATACTATATTTCGAACAAAGTTTGTGGTCACTCAAAAACTATTACGCAACTGTACCGATTACGTTAAGGAGTTTTTTAATAATTAACAAGTCTCCGAATATGTACTTATGTTTACGTTCTCTACAAATAACGATAATTGAGTACCTACCTAATGTGTTAGAGGTTATTTTAACGCCAACGGAGATAGTTTTGAATGAACTTCAAATATGCATTATTATTGCATTTGTTGGATATTTAACCTTTTTGATAATTTTATGGGCGGGTATATTTAAGCTCTTCTTGCGCGAAAGTGGTCATGCCATTAGCATGGAGGAAACCAAAGCGAGAAAAAGAAGAAGGGGCTGCCACTGTCTAAAAGGCAGTTCGGAAATGTTCGTGATTGTGTTATATTTTGTGACGTGGATCCATACGGAATCTCTCGGTTGGACTTAACTTGATTTGTAAATCCGTTCTATTTTACTGTTTGATTGGTTCCTTGCGTTCAACTTTGATTGTCCTTAGAGCATAGGATCTAAGTTTAACTAAATCACTTTGTTACTTTAAAATTGTTACTTATGATCCTGTTTGGAGGTTAATTGTTATTTTTTAACAATATTTCACATCCGATTCCTAAAAGTGTATATATTAACACCTCAGCAATAATTTTTTCACGTAGGTAATGGCGGAATTTGTTTGGCAAGACTACATATACAATTGTTTCTACAAAGGCAATTGCCTATTATAAATAATTGTGATGATTTGGATCATATTATCATTGGATGTACCGTGAGCTCGTCTATAAAAAAGGAAACTTTTTCTTTTTTCTCTTATTTATTGTAGTAACCTCAAGGGGTTATACTAGATTCTCCGCGTAAGCAGGTGAGCTCACGAGTCTCAAACCTGACGACGTTGCTAACATTAACCCTAGCAAGAGCAATGCTTCACAGAAACTACCACCGGATTGGAAACGGACTCTCTGAGAAGATCCGGGCAGAAACTCAGTGGGCTGTGTCTGTGGGTTAAATTGTTCGCCAAGACCTTCGTCCCAAGCGACGGGTTCGAAGAGAACGATGACTGTTGCTTGAGGTACCTAAAACCACCGTTAGTGGATCGGGAGTTTCGAAATGACGTGTTTAGGGCGACGTCGACTGTTTACCATTCGGTCTGCAGGATCGACAATGTAGTTACCGGCGGCCACAATGAGGGTTCTCGTGTCGTACCTCTTTTTCGTAATTACACTGATACTGACTTTAGATACTTACTGATGGACTCGAGGTCGTCCAGGTTCTTTTTTTATTGCTAAGATGGGTGAACGAGCTCACAGCCTACCTGGTGTTAAGTGGTTACTGGAGCCCAGACATCCACGACGCAAATGCGCCACCCACCTTGAGACATAAGTTCCAAGGTCTCTGGCTACAACGCCTGCCCCACCCTTCAAACCGAAACGCACTGCTTCACGGCAGAAATAGGCAGGATGGTAGTACCTACCCGCGCGGACTCACAAGAGGTCCTACCACCAGTTCGTCTTGGCGTAAAAAGTATAAAGTACACGAACGGTTAGAATATTCTTTTATGAATCTATCTTAATAATATCTTAAATATTCAAGGTCAATGTCGTCTAAGCTTTGATACTAATGAGATAGCAGAGATATGTGTAGATAAGGGCCGGTTGTCTTTGTGGTTGTCTCCGACTAGATTATGAAATTAGGGATTAAATATAAACTAGGTCCAACTGAAAAAAGGTATTCAACATGGAACGTGCTCCATTATATTTTGCAGATATTTTGAAGTTCTATGTTTCAATTGACTTTATTTTAATTTTATTGCCAAGTTGGTTGCATGAGCCCGCCTGGTTTTAAGCTGTCACCGGAGCCTATAGACATCAACCACATTAATGCCGGTATCTTGAGATATGAGTTCTTACTCTCAGTTTTAACAGTACAACGGTTGCCCCGCCCTTCAAACCGAAACGCATTACTGTTTCACAGCAGAAATAGGGAAAGCAGTGGTACCCACCCGTGCGGGCTCACGAGAGCATAATGTTATTTCTTTACCGTGGAAGTCACTCGCAAACATTTGTCAACTCCGTATTTCATTAATAAAATTGGTACCTATCTGCAGGATTCGAACACTAGTACAGTCGCATTGCTCGATACGAATGCACCGGGCGTTTTGTTTCCGTCACGTTTTTAGATCACGACGACTTCAACAAACCTATAGGTAAGACGTCTGCTGTACCGGTACCCGATTCTTCCAACGGATAGCAATGTTTGCTAAATAAATTACCTAAGTAAATTTACACGTCTCAACGATAGCGATGCATAAAGGCAAGCCGTAAATTTTATTCCATTATCGACGACGGTGTGTGGTGGTCAAGGAGATAAAATTTAATAAAAAATTAATACCACTATCTTGTCCACTCCTACCCGAAATAGTTTGATGTTTAGAACAGCCATCGTTCTTATGTAATTAAGATTAGGACCTATTTTGATCACATGATACCTATATGCTGAATTTCTTACGCAGTAAAAACCCTTGTCTTCAATGGTTACAGAGAATCTTTATTTTTAAAATATCTTCTCGTATTACCACCGTAAATTTATCGTGAATTAATAAACTTCTATGTGATGATGTATTTGGTTTTAAGACTGCGTTCACCATTCTTCATTTGTAGACTAAGCCAGGAGTAAGTTTTTTTTTCTTATCATGAACGAAGCTCATCATCAGGAATCGTACCCATGGATTACCAAGGACATTTTTTACTCTTGATGAGGTTTTGAGTGCCTTTACATATGGACTAGGAAATGTCGATTTAGTTTTATTTTCCACTTTAGTCAAAATTTTCAAATTATTGAGTGCGGCTTGAATGCGTTCTATGGTATATTTCTGAGCATTTTGTCACTTTCAATATATTTCTGGTGAAAATCAGCTGGAATAAAATGATTAAGCTGTACGGTGTCGTATTATGAATACCTACTGTTACAAACAAAATTAATTGATTATAAATAAACACATACAATTACCTACTTATACCTATTAACATAACACAAATGAATAAAAATTTAAATATAAATTTAAATAGCCATCGCTTCATAGCCCAAATGATTTTTTTTTTTTCTTAGATGGGTAAACCAGATCACTCTCGGCCCACCTATAACGTAAATGCCGACACCTACCTTGAGTTATAGTTCTAAGGTCTCAGTTTTTACAGTATAACGGCTTCACCCTTCAAACCGAAACGCATTACTGCTTCACGGCAAAAATAGAAAGGGTGGTGGTACCAGGCGGTATGAAATACGTACTCAACAACTGTTCACGATTGACTTTCTCGGTGAAGGAATAACATCGTGTAATAAAAATCAAACCCGCAAAATTATAATTTGCGTAATTACTGGTGGTAGGACCTTTTGGGAGTCCGCGCGGGTAGGTACCACAACCCTGCCTATTTCTGCCGTGGAGCAGTAGTGCGTTTCGGTTTAAAGGGTGGGGCGGCCGTCGTAGCTATACTTGAGACCTTAGAACTTAGGTATATCTCAAGGTGGGTGGCGCATTTACGTTGTAGATGTCTATGGGCTCCAGTCACCACTTAACACCAGGTGGGCTGTGAGCTCGTCCACTCATCTAAGCAATAAAAAAAAACCTACCCGTGCGGACTCAAAGGTGGCCCTACCAGTAAGCAAGACGTCTACCACCAGTAAGCAAGACGTCCCACCACCGTTAAACCCTCTTGTAGGAGTCATCGACCGTACCACCCCCATGTAGTGACAGCGTGTTACCTGTTCAGCCCCTTGTTCGGTCGGCCGTCCCGAATAGCCCGGGAACCAGTGAATGCGAAAGATGTAACGACTGCTTACAATGATGCCCGAGTCTTTCAATTCAATCAATCAACTGTAACGCATTTTCAATGCGAATGCCTCCAAACATGTGACTATTGACAGGTTGCAGGCAACAGACAAAAGATGGAATTTATTGAGTGCCACGTCGAGGTCTTAAGCTTATTTCAGACTACGCTATAATATAATACAGTATATAGCCCTTAGCACAACAATATCGCGCACGATACATTGTTATGAACACGTTCACACTACTGTACTATATAATATTATTGGCTAAGTATACGCTGCTATACAATATGGCACTATAGTATAGCGTAGTCTGAAAGCAGCTTTGTCGTTTAATCCGGTTGACAACGATGTATCTCGCCATGCTGGTAGTAGCAAGTCAGGCAGTCTCGCGAGCGTAGGATCCCACCGACGATGAGCGGTCTTCGTCAACATTATACTGTTCCATCGATAGATGAAAGATTCAAGAATGTACTCCAGAAACTTACCTGCCTCGTCCAGCAATAACATAGGGCGCAGTACACAGGCTCTCTTTAATTTCGTGTAATGCACAAAACAGATAAAAACAATAAGATGCAGTAACTTTTACCTACATTTAATTATTTATTATTTAAAATGGGTACATGTATAGTCATTTATGAATTATCAAGTGTTTTCATGGTTTACCTATAGTCCAATGTCAATGTTCTTTTGTAGTATTCAGTCTATTTGGTTTTATCGTCTGTCACCATTATCAGGTGTTAAAATGTGAATTATTTCAATTGTGTAACTCTACTAAACCATAAAAAAAAACATTTTAAAACGATAAAACATCTTTCCTTTAATTTCAATATACAAATAATCCATTATGAAGAGCAAACTCGACTCGCGTCTATGGCCCAAGCCTTCTATTGACATTACAAATCGTTTTCATTTTTCTATTACGTCTCCGATTCCCTCAGCGGCAAATCGTCAAATAAGTTTTCTTAGTGAATTACCGCAGGCGGTTGGCGGTTTCCCCTACGGATTGTCCCTCCCGCGACTCCCGCCGACCTCCCTCGGTGGAGTGGGCCATTCAGAGACGGTTCGCGAAGCTCTCACTCACGGTGCTTTGCGCCTTTGCTTCAGTTTGGCGGGCTTAGCGTCAGTTAACAGCCGTGTGCGACTATATTATTGCAACACGTCTTGGCGGGAAAGCAAAGCTCGCGAGTAAACTCGAGACTGACCAGCACACTGCAGTTGATGTGTTACCCGTGAATTATGAACGTCAAATCAAGCACTATAATGTACTTACTATGGTTCGCCTTATTTATTGTGATGGTAAGCAAGTCGGTTTTATTATATTTGTAATTTTAAATGCAGACGTTTATTTTTTCAGGTGATTCATAGTCGAATGTTTTGAATACAAAGTCCGTATTTCAATTTCTACTTTATGTATCTAACGAGCTACAAAATAAACATGTTTTGAAATAAACAAAAATCATATCACCTATAGATTAAGATATTTAATAAAAGCCACAGAATCTTTTATTTACCAAAAAAAACAACTATGAAAACTTAAAAACAATTCGCAAATTAACTTTGGAGATCATTGACCATATTAAAATCAAAGCTCCGTAAAGATATCAGTAAAATCCAAATTGCTCTAATCACCTACAAATCTGACTCATTATAAACCACAAATTGTGAATTACGCTCACATAATTTCATTACAAGTGGTTAAATAAGATAAGTATCAGTATTTGCACTGATGCACGTACGATATGTTATCCCATTACGAAGCGATAAGTATCGGCGTCTGGTAACCGTAATCGTTGCAACATCCCACATTTTTGTACTGGATCTCCGCCTAGACGCTTACTATTACAGCAATGACTCTGCTCATCGTAACTAACGCTGAGTATACGATTCTCAATTCGAAAATATTTGAAATACTTGAGTTAGATGAATTAGACTAATTTGTAAGAAACATCGTAGATTATATCATCATTTATGTTTGTCAAAAACAATAATCTATTTTCTAAGCAACTAAAGTCTATTTGAACGATCAATCCAATTTTACTAAATATTGTTTCTGAATTGAATTCACGGAAAAATCTACACTTAGCAAGAATATCGTCCTAGGTGTTTCAAATTGCACGTGCTGATCGCGAGCCGCTAGCTCTCCGTATCAATTACAAGAGCCGCTCTAGTGCACCCAATTATTAGCTCCGATTCTTATGATTCCTACTGCACGTTATTTAGGAATTAACCGTGCAGCATTAAAAACTCATAATGACCATAAAGCAGAAGTTGAATGTTATTACCGTCAATCATTAAAATTCTGAAGATATAATGTTACAAACATGTGTTACGAATGTGATATTTGTTATTTCTTTGTGTCATTTAACAATGGAATAATTAATTTCACCTTGGACTGACATACGTTAATTTAATAGTAACATATGCACTGACAAATAGGTATAGACACGCGTCAATAAAACCGCAACTTTATTATTCCCCAAGATGAACCCGGAAAGAGCACCCCCCGTCTTAGGACACTTTTAAATCAGTAAACAAACGGGCGTTGTTGAATTATACTAAGAACACGTTTCCCTTGTCGTGATTCACGGAATTTTGATTAAACTTACATAATACATAACGTAACGTTTGAGCCAGATACAGCATCTTGCGTGGGAATCGTCTCCAGCCATGCAATTAGGGAACGCCGGGAGCGAAGGGTACTCAATTACGACGCTCAATGTTTTTATTGTGATTCTCCTTGCCAATATATTGGTTCAGCTCAGTAGTCAAAACTTAAATATCTTGGAAATGTTATAAATCCAATTTTAAAAAAAGATATCATAATAATTGTAGTCAAAATCTCAAATTACACCTAACATAACCTATTAATTAATTAAAATCCTTAATTTTTTAACGTAGTTCTAGGTTTGTAGAAAGGATAACATTATTAGAGCTAATCTCGTGTTTGTTTTCTTTATTGTATAATTTTCGATAATTTGAATACTTATAGTTTTCGTAATTTTCAATTTATTCAATTGTTTCCATGCTTCTGTTTGAGTTCAGTAAATATTATTATACTATCAGTGACCAAACCCACGACTTGTTTGTTCTTAAAATTTCTGCGCAGTTTCCATCTCTATTTAGTGGGAGTCTTGTGAATCCCCACGGATCAGGTACCATCACTTCGCGTCTATTTCTACCATGAACACAAAATGCGTTTGAGTTTGAAGGATCTCCACTCATCTGTTGTACTATAAACCCAACACTTAGATCTCATATCTCAAGGTTTTTGCTCATGTTTAAAGGCCCCGGTAACCACTTAACACAAAGTGGGCCGTGAGCTCATCCACGCATATAGGCAATAAAAAAATACTTTAAAAAATTCAGATTTCTATCGTAATTCACAACATATTGAATAAATGAAAAATACTTTTATAATGGTCCTATAAACTTTTCAAATGATGAGCGTGACGAACTTAATTCTAACAAAACAAATTAGCAACCTCGTCCGGGCTCGTGCCATGGCATATTAAATCTATGGGAAAGTAATTTGCACAAAAAATAGACGAAAAACGTCTTCTCATATCACATGTGCTCTGTCGCCTCTTCAAGTCAACGACCCTATCCAATTATGGTTGCATAATAGAAGTTTTTTATTCAATAATTTAAATTGGTTTTTTCACGCGTGAGCCAATTCACGATAGTCGAACAGATAATGTCAGACCCTGGACATCGTATTAAAAGTGCGAATAAAAGACGTAGATAAACAATAGTTCATTGATTTATTTGTTTTCATAAGATAAATCTGTTTTTAAATTTACAGAAGCGTTTTATACGTATGTCTATGTGTACCTACTCGTTTAAAATATATAAATAGATTTAAACCTAGGTATAGCTTTTAGCTGCGGCTTCACTACAATTAATATTAAAAATATCTCTCGGGAATAACACGTTTTTTTTTAGGATAGTGTCATAATGTCATTTTCTTATAGGCAAACGCGAAATAAACAAATAAAGTCACTTGCGCATTAATAAAAATGCGTGTATCGTTTTCTATGAGTTCCATTTAACACCTTTCCTCTTTTTCTTGAATAAATAGTTATATCCAAATAAATCATGATTTCGTAAAATCTCAAAACATGTATGCGTTCGCTTAAATGGTATTGTATCGATCATCTTATACAATAACATACTTTAGATTAGTTTAGATGCCAAATCGTATTACGAGATCAGTATCTTGCTATTCATCGTACAATGAAACTCAATTGGAACAAATTTAAATACACCACAACAAAAACCGTATTGATAAGCAGATTTCATTACTTACGTCCATTGTTGTTAAGATATCTCGTTTTGCATCCAACATCCGAATTAGGTTGTTCTGCTGTGTTTCGTTACTTAATAAGAATAAAATTTCTTTTCGTGAATCACGTCTTTTTAAATGGCGATTTTTTATTCAGTATTTAATGTCACTCCGTTTATTTTCTAATTGTCTTTTATTAAAATAAGAATTCTCATGGGTCGCTCTGGTTCTCATTAATATAAACAATGTGACATGTCACTTGCAAAACTTTTACTTGTTTTTTTTTTTACTTTGTTGCACCACACTCACCATTGTGTAGTCTGTAATTTTGCAATATGATAGATATAGTTATGCATTAAAATAATACTTTTCTAGTATTATCCTACATAGAATAAATGCAATTTTTATAATATATTTCTAACTTTCTAATTAATTATATCACACGAACTAGTGGAGTAGCTATATTATTGTATATTTATGTGAATAACTATTAAACATTACTTAAAACTGTTTTATAGTTGTTCTTAAAATTATCTTATATCAAATAATACATAAAATCTTTGCTACGCAGTAAAATTTTCTGTATAATCAAGTATTCCAGTTGCACGCTGAATAGGTACGGTCGGCTAGGTACCGTTGCATGCGTCTCACATACTGTGGGTCACCGTCAATGGTCAGGTTGCTGTGCCTACGACCTGTATGCCCTATCAATCCATATAAACAGCTAAATCCTAGAAAACCGGCTCTATAACATTAACACACTCAGGCAGATTTTCCTGTTTTTCTATAAGTGTTAGGATTTACCTAGACTCAATTGAACTGTGGCTCGACTCGTAGGCTATATAAATTTTTATGTACTGATATTTACAGCTATAGCCTATAAAGAAAATAAAAAAATACCTGTAGGTAATAATTTTATATTTGCAGCCTAAAAGTTTTTGTTTCCAAAACAATTGGTTGGAGATTCTACACTCACCATAACACAAAAAAAACATTCTACTAGTTTCTGTAGTTCCACATTAGTAAAAGATTTTATTCGCATTTAGTTTACATAATTTATAATTTTACGTTAAATTTAACAGAAGCCAATTATTTCCTACGTAAAGTAGTAAAAGTGGGTCATTTCCGAATTAGCGTGAGTGAATATTTGCAGAACTAAACATCGCCACACGCAATTTCAATTTAGTTCAAGTAACAGTACGTTTTTAATAACTGCAGCAATAAATTCTTAAAATTCAATGGGACTATTATGTTTTCAAACATGTTAATGCTCTGTCATAACGTCAAACATTTTAAGATCGATGTAGTGCGATCGTAGCACTAAAAAAAACCACATTTAAAAGCTAATATTTCAACTGGGTTTTTGCAAGCGCCGGTGTTTAATCCAATTAAGTGATCATTAATTTAATGATAGGCAGTGTCAAGAGGTCCAGTAAAAAGTTGAGCATTCGTGAACCGTAATAAATGAGAGTCCGCCTGCCGACAGATGAACGATTTGCAACCCAGTTTCTCGATATAATTGCCCCAATAAGGATGGATAGCTGTGTAATTAATTAACAGTTTCTTACGAACAAAAGAAAAGGAACGCTTTTAACGGTATACCATTAAATAATAAGATAATATAAATGTATTTACCTGCAAATTGAGTATGTTAATTTAATTTTTGTTTTTCAAGTTTTTTATTTTGAAATTACTTGCCATATTTATGACCTACCCATGTAATGTGCGTTTCGTATGCATGGTATTGCGCGCGGGCTTAAGAAAGGATTCACGCAATATATTTAGTTTTTTTTTAAATCATGAGTATGACATTATTTTTTCCCACATTTTAAGGCTTAGATTTTTTTTCTATTTATTTATTTATTTATTTAATAAGTTGCACCAACAAAGTGATCATCAATACAAAACATTGACAAATTTACAAAAGTTCATGGCAGATGTCACCTCAATTATAGGTGCAATCGACATTGCATTAACATCAAAAATAAAAATAAAATATACAGCTAAGAATTGG